ATGTTCTTCTATTTATCCTTCTCCTCTGTTTTCCTGTCTGTCAAAATGATCGACTTGGTCCCACTGGGAGAGGGTCGTGGAGGTTCCCGAAACAACATCTGGTTACCATTCTTCGAACCTTCAGAGATGTATAAAAGCTCCTGGTTCCCCCCAAAAACTAGGTCAGATCTTCCTGCTCCTTTTGGGGGAAGGAACTTTCTGTCCCTTTTCAGCTGAATTGTAGGCATTTGACTTCTGTCTGTGCTTACGGCTTGTGCTGATGATTTCTGTATTCTTTATCATTTTTCTATATCCTAGTTAGTAATAAATACTTAATCACAAAGCAAGCTCAAGATACTTTTGATTTCTCACATGGGCTAAATCCACAAATTTCCACCACAGATGGCAGGCCCTTGGGCAGAGGTACCGTAACCCATATTACAGTTGTTTTGTCTATTTTCGAGAAACATTATGAAAAGATTCAGTTTAATCTGATCCACACTCCTGAGTTTCCTGTTGTGCTAGGATTCCCTTGGTTGTCTCACCACAGTCCTCATATCAATTGGTCTCTGGGAACGGTGGTCGAGTAAGGTCCAAGGTACAAATCTTCTTGTCTCCTCACTAGAGCTGTGCCCTCAGTTCCTAAACTTCCCAGTCCTCTAGATTTGGCCCAAGTCCATTCCATGTACCATGAGTTGAGTGAGGTATTTAGCAAGAAGAGGGCCACTGCCCTGCCCCCTCATAGGCCTTTTGACTGTGCGATTGATCTCCTCCCAGGGTCCTTCCCTCCACGAGGAAGGATCTTCTCCCTGTCACCCACAGAGACTCAAGCTATGGAGGACTATATCAAGGACTCCCTGACGGCTGGAATCATTCGTCCCTCGTCTTCCCCTGCCGGTGCCGGATTATTTTTTGTTGGAAAGAAGGACGGCGGTCTCAGACTATGTATTGATTATCGGGGCTTGAACAAGATCACGGTCAAGAATCGTTACCCCTTGCCCTCAATGTCCTCAGCATTTGAACTCCTACAAGGGGAAACTATCTTCACCAAATTGGACCTCCGTAACGCCTACCGCCTGGTCCGGGTCAAGGAGGGAGACGAGTGGAAGACGGCCTTCAACACCCCTACAGGTCATTATGAAAATTTAGTTATGCCATTTGGGTTGTCCAATGCACCAGCGGTTTTCCAGGGACTCATTAACAAGGTTCTCAGAGAAATGTTAAACCGTTTTGTTTTTGTCTATTTGGATGACATTCTGATTTTCTCCAAATTCCTTCATGAACATGTTCATCATGTCAGAGTCATCCTCCAGCGCCTACTTGAGAATCACCTCTTTGTAAAACCTGAAAAATGTGAGTTCCACGTCTCTGAGGTGTCCTTTTTGGGCTTCATCCTGTCCAAGGGGAGTCTTCTCACAGATCCCAAGAAGACTCAAGTTGTTCGGGATTGGCCCCAACCATCTGTCAAAGAGGTACAACGGTTCATTGGTTTCGCCAATTTTTATAGGAAGTTTATCAGAAACTTCAGTCCGGTCCTATGACCGATCTCACGAAGAAGCCTGGCCCCTTTAAGTGGTCTCCAGAGGCAGAGCGGGCCTTTTGTGAACTGAAGGTGAGATTCTCCTCCGCCCCTATCTTGACCTTACCTGATCCCTCTCTTTCCTTTGTGGTCGAGGTAGATGCATCAGAGGCAGCAGTAGGGGCTGTGCTTTCCCAGCGGCCGGAAGATGGGAAGCTACATCCTTGTGCCTTCTTCTCCGCACGCCTTTCAGCTGCTGAAAGGAATTATGATGTGGGGGGGTCGTGAACTTCTGGCTATTAAGATGGCCTTGGAGGAATGGCACCACTGGCTGGAAGGGGCCCAGCACCCTTTTGTGGTTTGGACGGACCACAAAAATCTAGAGTACATTCAGAGGGCCAAACGTCTCAACCCCAGGCAGGCAAGGTGGGCTCTTTTTTTTAATAGATTTTATTTTATTTTGTCCTTCCACCCTGGTTCAAAGAACCAAAAGGCTGACGCACTCTAGACTGTTTCACAGACCAGGGGTTGATAGAGTTCCAGCGTCCATCCTCCCATGCTCAAGGATTGTAGCTCCGGTCCGGGAGTTGAGACATTGGTGCTCCAAGCCCAGAAGAGAGAGCCAGATCCTGGGGATGGACCCTCCAACAGAGTGATTTGTCCCTACTGTTGTGCCAACCAAGGTTCTGCAGTGGGGCACTCTTCGCGTCTGACCGGCCATCCAGGAATGGGCAGGACTCTGGAGTTCATCAATCAGGAATCAGGAAACATTTATTGCCAAAATATGTCAAACATACAAGGAATTTGTCTTGGCGGTTGGTGCGTGACAGTAGACACAAAACCGACAATAGACAACAAGACAGCAGTGCACAAGAAATAAAATAAAATGAAATGCTAATGCAATGGGTTAGTAGAATAAGGCTATGGGTTAGTATGAAATAAGAGAATAAAATATTTAAAAAGTTAAAAAATATTAAATAAAGTACTATCGAACAAGTGACAGTGACAATTGACGAGTGACGAATGAAAAATTACAGTTAAAGTGACATGTGCATATGAAGCAGATTGACCAGTGGAATGTTATAGTCAGTCAACGGGGGACTGGGCTCTGTTGATGAGCCCGACTGCCGACGGGAAGAAACTGTTTGTGTGGCGGGAGGTCTTAGTCTTGATGGACCTCAGCCTCCTGCCAGATGGAAGGGGCACAAAAAAATTTTGTCCGGGGTGGTTACGATCTTTTTAGCCCACTTCAGAGACCTGGAAGCGAACAAGTCCTGCAGGGACGGCAGATTGCAGCCGATCACCGTCTCTGCAGAGCGGATGACACGCTGCAGCCTGCCGTGGTCCTTGGCTGTGGCTGCAGCGTAACAGACGGTGATGGAGGCGCAGAGGATGGACTCGATGATGGCCGTGCAAGAGTGGACCATCATCGTCTTTGGCAGGTTGAATTTCTTCAGCTTCCTCAGGAAGAACAACCTCTGCTGAGCCTTCTTGGTGATGGAGCTGATGTTCAGCTCCCACTTGAGGTCCTGGGTGATGATGGAGCCCAGGAAATGGAAGGAATCCACAATAGTGACGGGGGAGTCACACAGGGTGATGGGGGAGGGTGGGGCTCTGTTCCTCCGGAAATCCACAACCAACTCCACTGTCTTTAGAGCGTTGAGCTCCAGGTTGTTCTGACTGCACCAGGACACCAGATGGTCAGACTCCCACCTGTAGGCGGACTCATCCCCACCAGAGATCAGTCCAATGAGGGTGGTGTCATCTGCAAACTTCAGGAGCTTGACGGACTGGTGACTGGCCAGGAATGAACATGGATGTAAGGGCTTTTGTTGCGGCCTGTTCGGTCTGTGCCATAAGTAAGAGTTCCCATACCCCCCCCCCCCATGGTCTCCTACACCCTCTCCCCATTCCAAAGCGACCCTGGTCCCACATATCCATGGACTTTATTACAGGTCTTCCCCTCTCACAGGGAAGCACTGTTATTTTGGTTATTGTCGACCGCTTTTCCAAGACGTGTCGGTTTGTCCCCCTGCCCAAACTCCCCTCGGCTCTTGAGACTGCTGAGGCCGGTCTTCCCCTTGATGTGGTCTCAGATCGTGGGCCCCAATTCACGGCTCTGTTTTCGAGAGCCTTCTGCAAGCTTATTGGGGCTACGGTCAGCCTCTCCTCTGGGCACCATCCATAGTCCAATGGACAGATGGAGAGTCTTAATCAGGACCTGGAGACCACCCTCCGATGCCTGGCCTCATCTAATCCTTCGTCTTGGAGCAGGTATGTGATCTGGGCTGATTATGCCCATAACACCTTGTGATCTTCTGCTACAGGACTCAGTCCCTTCGAGTGCCAGATTGGGTTTCAGCCTCCACTGTTCCCCGACCAAGAGGCAGAGGTTGGCCCGGTCTACCCTGCAGAGGTCTGGCCGTCACTAGCGACACCATGCCAACCGACGCTGCAGACCTGCACCCCCTCTACGTCCAGGACAGAGCATAAGTCTATCAACGCCAGACGTTCCTCTGCGGGTGGAATAGCTCAACGGTTTGTGGGGCCCTTCAAGGTCGTGACGTTCATAAGGAGGGGGGTCCTGTCAGGGTTTTTTGACTGCAATACCCTGAAGGACCATGTGGGGTCCTCAGTGATCCAGTTTATGTCTGTCACCTGTCGTGTGTATGTGGTCTTGATTGTTTTCATTGTGTTCACTTGTGCCTTGTTTTCTAGCCTTTCTAGCCACCTGAGTTTCTTTGAGTTTGTCACGTCTTGGAACTTGCCACCTGGAGCTGAGCTGCGTGAGATTCTTGATGCCCTTCCTCTGTTAATACTTTTTGGTTTTTAAGATCTTTTGTTGCCTCTTTTTTGGGACACCCTTAGTTTCCTTGTTAAATGCCCAGACCTTGTTTTTAGTTGTCTAGGAATATTTTTAAGTTTCTGCCAAGCCTATGGAATCCTCGGCTCTTTGCAAGTAAAGAAACCTTTTTTGACTCTCTACAAATGACTTGTCCATCTTTGTCTCTGCACCTGAGTCACCACCACTTGTAGCACAGTGGTAGGCAATCTGCCTGCTACAGAGACCCAGGTTCGGATCCCGACAATCCTGATACGGCCCTACCGAAAAAATGTGATGGTGAAATATCTTTCGTTGGCTCTTAATTCAACAATTATCTTTTTATTTTCATACAAACTTTATAGTTTTTAAAATGTAACTTTACTTCAACTGAGAAGCAAAACTGTGTAGGAAAAAAATGCATTGAAGTCCCCTCAGAGTTCACTGTATGAACATGATGTACTCATTGGTTAGCGAGGAAATTTATGACATTTTAAAATAATTTTTTCCTCAATCGTAACAATCGATTTGATAAGGTTGTTTTTGTGTTATTTGATAACATTTTACTTTCAGTAGTTACATATTTACTTGAGCTTCTCATAAATTCTAGCAAATTAACAATGTCTAGAAAGTGATATTTGGAGAAAACATTGTAAATTTACTGGAAAAGGAAAAGACTGGTTACTTTCTTTAATTCAATTCATTTTATTTTATATAGCCCAAAATCGTAAATTACAAATTTGCCTCAGAGGGCTTTACAGTCCTTCTGAAGTTGGTCAAATTTGATCACAATGTATGATCCTTGTATGATGAATATGAAACATTCATATTCATCATAGAGGCAGGAATGTGGTGTCACTCTTATCCAAAGAATAAGGGCTATTTTCGCATGTGTGTGAAGCAAGCGTGCTAACGCTACAAAGAGCCGGCATCATTTCAATTTCTGGCTGTCTTGGGTTCAGTTCCGCTTGGATACATGCAGCTGGAATGAGGATGAATGGATTAATACAAATCCAGACTGAAGAAAGAAAAAATATCCTGTTAGCGTCTCCAAAAGCAAAATGGTCCCAAGAAAAATTAGCCAGACAAAAAGCAATCTAACCTTATAAGAATTGGCCCATGCAGGTTGTGTCTTGTCCGTGGACATTCTCCTTAAAATTGAAAGTCTGTTTTGTTGACTTGGAGAAAGCTTATGACTATGTGGAGTCCTGTGAGGTGTAGCTACGTGAGATCTTTGACACAGCAGAATATATATATATATATAAATTCCTTTGTTCAAATAAGCCAAGCCGACAATGATTTTGTTACAAACTGTGTGAATACAGTCTAGCACACCAAAATACTGAGAATAAGATTCTCAGTATTTACTAGCCAGATTCTCCTGATGCATTTCAGCATCATTCAACAGTTGAGACACCTCAAACGTTTTGATAAATATCCTCATCTCCTCCATAAATGTCCGCAGCTCCTTCAGCCAATTGCTGGGTCACATTTTCATAATCAGCTTCATCATCACTGGTTTCTTCATCTTGGTCAGAATCATGACCTTCATCGTTGTTAATCTCTGACTCCTCATCATCACAATCATACTCCTCTTCCACTCTCCCTGCTTCCTCTTTGAGTTTCTTGGTGTGCACTGGATCAACGTTCTCATACACATCCTCATCGTCCCCATTTGTGTTATTTTCATAATTCTTGTTGACTCGGACAGGCACTGCAAGACAAGCAGATACACAAACATCAGGACAGAATGTCTCATGACTATCAGAAGGGATTCTGGACAAGAATTAAAAAACGAACATTGTATGAAAGTGTATTATGAACATTGTCAACAGCAACGGTTCCGCTCTATTCACACTAACTGGCGTTAATTGGGGACAATAGCCGAATGTGGCACACCCAAAAATATAAACATTTTGATGTGTATCTATGATTTAGTTTGGGATTTATTGAAGGATTTAATATGTAAAACAGAGTAGTTATTGCAGGGTGTAATTTGAACACATGGACCATACATTTATATTTAAAATGTATATTTATATTTAAAATTTACATTAAATATTTAACATTTACATTTATATTTTTTAACAACTTTTTGTTACTGCCAACATTATCCTTGGAAAAAGTATTGCATGAATTTACATGAAGTTCTCTCTAAAAAAAGTGACATATGAATATTGTCGTGTATTTTTTCAAATGATAATGCTAAAAGTACCAAAACTGAGCAGGATTTTAGAACGTGCAACATTTTACAAACGATGCCCCATACGTGGGGGGGACTACTGGCACAGGAGCATTAGCGCACAGGTTGTTTAGGAGCATGACTCCTGCTCACTCCACAGAAACAACGCACATGTCCAACTAAACGCCTTGTGTCATTTCTGCTACCAAATTTTATCTGTGCTACAGATTATTCAACTTTGTTGCTGTGTTCCCATTGCTGGGACCCGCAACACAAACATGATCTCCTAAATCCGACACAGGCTCAGCTGCAAGAGGTCTTTATGAATAGTACATGAACATAAACAGTCTTATATCATACAAAATTTGTATTATATATAAATATAGTCTGTGTATCTTGGGGATGACGTGAAACACAGACGTTGCTTATTCAGCAGCAATATGAAGAAGATAGACTATCATGATAATACCAGTCCATGTGACTACGGACTTGATGTTCCGTGTGTCCTGGTGAGCACATACATTGAGTTTGGACGATGTCAATAGGCTGCTCGGCTCGTCTCTTTCTCTTGCAGACCAGACAGACCCCCACCAAGACCAGCAGGAGCAGCAGCGGACCCACGACAGCGACTGAGGAAACCAGCGGCAACAAAGACACTAGGAGAGAAAAACCTGGAACAGTTAGTCCTGAATCCCTTTTTCCATTCTCCAGGTGGAATAAGTCTTTCATCCGAGCAGGAAAAACATGGAAACAGGAGGTCATGGTGAAAGAGAACAGCTCACTTCAGCCAAATGGACAGCACATACAAACGGAGAATTGAGTCGAATACCAACGGTGGTATGTTCACATGTGTTAAACGGTGTGGGAAATTTCATATGTTTTGTAAAATTCTAAAACTAACTTTCTACTTCTACCAAAAGATGTTTCATTTTTTGCACTATAAAAAAAATGAATCTCAAATAAGATATAACTTATTTGTTTGTATAACAAAATATACAAACCATCAAACTAACATAATCTAATGTTAGACAGCATGTATAGACCCGGTTCATTCATCATTCACTCCTGTATTAACTTCTCTGCACTGGCTCCCTGTTAAATCAGGAATAGATTTTAAGGTACTTCTCCTCACCTACAAGGCACTTGCTGGTGAGGCACCGTTGTATCTTAAAGAGCTTGGAAAACCTTATTGCCCTACAAGGTAGCTGCGCTCCATACAGTAGATGCTGGGTTACTTGTTGTTCCTATGGTTTTAAAAAGTAGGCTGGGGGCCAGAGCCTTCAGTTATCAAGCTCCTCTTTTGTGGAACCAGGTTCCACTTTCAGTCCGGGGGGCAGATTTGGTCAGCTCTTTCAAAGTAAAACTTAAAACGTTCCTCTTTCATTCTGCCTATAGTTAGGGCTGGCTAAGTTAGCCCGGACCAGCCCTTAGTTAAGCTGCTATAGGCTTAGACTGCCGTGGGACTTCTTAGGACACACCAAGCTCCTCTCTCACGCTCTCGTTCTACAATGATTCACGTTTTATTAATGCACATGACTAACTCAGCTTCTTTCCGGGAGTTTTTTTGTGCTTTCTCCCCTAGCAGGTCTCCGTAGATCGTAGTTCCTTCTGGACCCTGGTCCTGACACCTACCGTGGCCATGCTGACGCCTGCTGCTGCCATCATCATCATCATCATCATTATTTTAGATATTAATCATATTACTGTACTCGTAAACCAACATTACCCTCTCCTAAAGTCTTTGTGCTCTCCCTCCCCACAGGCTTCTGTGGATGGTGGTTCTATCTGATGGTGGTTGCCCTTGCAGTGGTCCTGCTTTGCGAGTTTTTCCTGTGCCGATGGTGGGTTTCGGGACAGAGGATGTTGTATGTGTACAGACTGTAAAGCCCTTTGAGGCAAATTTGTAATTTGCGATTTTGGGCTATACAAAATAAAATGAATTGAATTGAATCATATATGCATTCATGATATGGATTCATTTCCAATAAACAACAATAAAAACATGACAGAAACCTGCAGTACTGAACACAGGTGTTAAACTTAAGGCCCGCGGGCCTGATTCAACCTGCAGGGGGGGTCCAGTGTGGCGTGCCGGATGACTTGGCTATTGTGAGAATTACAGAAGGACATAAATTGCACTTCTATAAAAGTAGCTTCTATTCCTAAAAAGTCCACTGGGGGTCGCACTGTGTGAGTGAGCGCATGGATCAGACCAGGGGGACACAGTCGTTCACCAACGCAGAATGTTGTTCTTGATATAACTACATCACCTGTTCACACACCTTCCTTTCATCACTAATCCATCCATCCATCATCATTCATCAGCTTATCTTGCACACAGGGTCGCGGGGGGGCTGGAGTCTATCTCAGCCAACTTTGGGCGAGAGACAGAGTACACCCTGGACTGGTTGCCAGCCAATCGCAGGGCTACACAGAGACACACAACCATTCACACTCACATTCACACACCTACGGGCCAATTTAGTGTCCTTGATCACTAATCAAATCCCTATTTAGTCTCCTGCCTCACACACACACTTTGCCAGATTGTTCTTCCGCTTCATGATATGGATTCACTTCCTATATACATCAATAAAAAACATGAGCGAACCTGCAGTACTGTATATCATCATGTCGAAAGGGTCTTAAAACACTGGCTGATGTAACTACAAGTAATTATAATGGTGATGATAGTGGAAACAATGACATTGTTACATGGTCTCATGTCTCCTACTTCTCAGACCACATTTCCTTGTTCTACTTGCAGTCAGGCCTTTACTGCCCGCTGACGTGTCTCCTCCCACTTCCCTTATCTGTCCCGTCACACCAGCTATTCTTGAAAAAACAACTTCCTCGCTCTCTACCTGCTGCACTCTCTTATTCAGAGGCCTAATAACATTTCACTTAGCGTTGGAGGCCCGGTTCATTTCTATAAAAGTTTGACTCCTGAGTATCTAATTAAGATAAAATGACCAATACCATCTGTGTATCTTAAGCATCCATGGGCCCATAGAGGGAGCACACTAACTATTCCTTCAACCCCGAAACCCAGCCATCAACCCAGGCTCATTCTCAGGCTCATTTACGTAAAAAGAAAGAAAATAAATATGAATTCAGCGACTAAAAAATCTAACAGAACAAAATGTCTGCTTTTCAACTTCGGTTGTCATGATACCAAAATTATACTATACCTGCCAAAATATTATGGTACCCGATACTTATGATACGATACCACAAATAGGATAGGCTACTGGAATATTTATCTATGATAGTAATCAATAAAAAATCTGTAAGGCTCCCTTTTTTCTCTGGCATCGGTTTGACTGTCTGTGGGATAAACAATGCTTAATTTACTTGCATATAGTAAAGAGAGTTTGATATTCTCACATTCATATTTCCTTAACTAAAAGTAAAAAGAATTTGGTGAAGATCCACCCTCAGGCTCCACCCGCATGTAGTCTAATGCATCAAGTGTGTATTATTTGGTACAATTTTGTGTGCATTCTGACCTCATGAGTGAAATTGTAGGTTATTTTGCATGTATATATTTCTGCTGGACTATTCAGGAACTTATTTGCAGTCTTGCTTTGTCTTGTGTTGGACTTGCTTGAGGAAAGTTGTTGTCAAGCTAGCCAACAAAGCTACAGAGCTGCCAACTCTCACGGTTTCCCCATGTGACACACGTGGTTGCATGTTTTCACACACTCACGCCACACATCCAACTTCTTATGCTAAAAAAAATCTGCGTTGGTTCATCTCCAACCTCGCCGACGGTAAACAACGCATCTGTAACCTGATTCTCTGCACGTAGTGTAACTTACACCTCCGCCGGCCGTATCGTTCACATCCGACAACATCTCACTCTGTAGCTCACAACATTACAAAGAAGCCAACGCAAGAGCACTTAATACTAGCATCAATGTCCAAGCTAACATTGCTAACGAGATGTCTAGCTAGTGGCTAAACTTAGCAAAACCTGTTCGCTTACTTTTTTTATGACAAACTAACAAGTCAACAATTTTCCAAACACAGTCAAACATCAAGCAAGTGCAACAAAGCAGATCTAAAGCGCGACAATATTCACATGTCACTTTTTCAAACATTTTGAGAGAAATTCATGTAGGATAATGTTTTGGCAGTAACAAAGTTGTTAAATAAAAAAGGTATTGGAAAAGTTGTTGCATGAATGTACATGAATTTCTCTTTAGAACGTGCAACATTTTACAAACGGCGCCCCATACCAGTCTAGTCCTTGTTTTGCTCGCACAACAGTACCGCGGTACCTTTCTAGTACCGGTACACCGTGCAACACAATTTTCAATGGACACTAAGCACAAACTGCTCGCCCTGTCGAAACCTCCTGTAGATCAACTCTGATTTGTTATTTGGTGTAATGCCAGACAAACGGCACTTTCTAGTCTATTTGCCATCACATACTCAGTGGATTAATTCACTATTAGTTCCTTTACAAAACTATCATTGGTAAAATCCCCACATACCTTCAGCTACTCCTCATCTCCAACGGTAACTGGAATTTACCTTCTAGCATTTATGTTACCGTGCTCGTTCTAAAGGACTGCTCCACCTTCGGCTGTTTCTGAGTCTAGTTTGCTGCTCCAGACGTCTGGAAATATTGCAAAAGGAGTTAAAACTTCACACCCACATTCTGTTACCCTCCTTTCATAACTCACTACAAATATCTCCCCTATTCTGAGGACCACATCTGCTTAACGTGCTTAAAGATCTACTGAGTTACGATTATCTCTTCCCAATGTAAGTGTATGCGAAGAAGTCTTTCTGGGAACCACAGAATCAAGTCACGACCCAGATTTTGTAATTCTTCAGTTTGGTCATGCTGTGAAATTAGTTTCAAAGCCAAAACAATCTTCTTCATGCTTGCATATAATAAGTAATGGACAACACGGCATGCTTAAAAAATGTCACGTCCATTGTCTTGAAGATAATCTTCATTGGCGTGAAACGTCATCATGTAAAGTGGCATTTACATTATCATTATTATCATTATTATTATTACATTCATATCCCACGCAGCTCATTATTTATCTTTCCGACGCTGCATTTTTATTGTAAATCAGTGGTTGTGCTGATTATGTAGTTACACACAGTCGTGGCCACCATCACTCAAATATAGAAGTTTACTCTAAATTCGTCACTCACTTTTGATGATGACAGTAATCGTGGCTGTCTTGTTGGAAGTGAACCTCCGTGCAGACAGTGTGACTTCGTACACACACATGTAGTTTCCCAGGTGCTCATACTCGGCCGACAGGAAGTCAAAGGAGGCTGAGTGGTTGACTGCTGGTTTGGTGTCGTTGAGGCCGGAGCCGGAGGACACGAGAGAGAAAACACCTCCGGGATAATGGGAGGAAATGGAGCAGGTGAAGACAAAGCTGTAACCCCTGGTGACCTGTGCACCTTCAGGGCCCCAAACCAGCCCTTTGTTAGGAGACGTCAGAGAGATGCTGGGCTGCTGCAGCGGCACTGAGTACAAAAGGGACAACAGATTTCATCCGCACACAATGAAGACATACTGATGCACAACAAATGTTGTTTAAAATGTAACGACACATTTTAATGGAAAATGAAGAAAGAATATCCTCAATTTAAATAAAGAGATCAATCTGAGGAAACTACATGTTAACTTACGGACAAGAAAACAGGAGATGGACTATTGCACGCAATTTCTTTCAAATTATCAATAACTTACCAAAAGTGCAATTATACAGTAAACCTAATTTAAAATTGAGAATGACTGCTTTAAGAATCCTTTTTTATTTGTTTTGTCACATTATTCTATTTATTCATTAATGTTTCTTACCAGTAACAGAGAGTCTGACAGAGTCACTTAAGGGGGAGTTGAAGTCTCGACCTGAAACCCTCGTCTGATACTGACACTGGTACGATCCTTCACCTCCGAAGTCCACTTGCAAGATGTTGAAGGTAGCAGAGTTGGTACTTGATGCTTCCGTCTTTCTGAATGAGCCTGAGGTCTGCTGCAGAGTGAATGTTCCACCTAAATGCTGAGTTGAGATGGAACAAGTGATGGAGGCGTCCTGACCCCATGTGACCTCACCAACAGGACTCATGGAGATGTTGGGCTTTGGGAGGGTCGCTGAAAACAATAACACAATGTTAGAAGGAGGAATAAATGGACAGAGGTGACGTATACTTCACCTCTAAGTCCATCAGACAAGAAAGAGTATGGGTTTATTTCCCAACATGTTGAACATGGAAAATATTTAAATCATAAAAATGTCCTATGAAACCTGTTTAAAATGTTATATTGTTCACAAAGCAACATTTTACATATCAAACCTAATAGCATGCTGCAGGTTGTGGTTACCAGCAAGTTACTCAGTGCTGCTGCCAAAAGGCTCATCACAAACCACAAAGACTAGAGCTGTGAAAATATACAGAAAAGGTCACATTTATTGTTTTCTCACATGAACAGATAACGCCGGCGTCCTCATTGTGGTTACAGTTGTGTTTCCCAAATCCACTGTGCTGACATTGAGTTATAGACCTCTCAGTTCCTGAACAGTTCACATCATCGAGCCAGATTTCTCCGGTTCCTCCCCCGAAGCTCTGTGTGTTAGTGGCCGTACCACAGCCCAACTCTCTGCAAACCACCGTGGCGTCTTTAGTGTCCCAACTATCATCACAGACTGTTCCCCAACTGCTCTGATGCTTGATTTCTACTCTTCCAGAGCACGACGTAGACCCCGCCAATCTGATCGGCACGCCTGACAACCGAACACAGAAGAGAAACAGCTTTTGTTATTTAGTAATGGCAACAGTTAAGAAAAAATTGACATTTGTTGCATCACTCACACAGAAAGTTTTCTGCTCATCTATTCTAATAGCATGCTGCAGGTTGTGGTTACCAGCACTTTACTCTGTGCTGCTCCCAAAAGGCTCATCACAAAGCACAAAGACCAGAGCTGTTAGAATTGATCACCTGAACAGACAACGCCGGCGTCCTCACTGTGTTTACAGTTGTGTGTTCCAAATCCTCCGTGCGTACACTCCGTTAGATCCCTCTCAGTTCCTGAACACCTCACATCATCGAGCCAGATTGATCCGGTTCCTTCACCAAAGTGGGCCTTCTCAGGAGCACTCAGTGCCGTACCACAGTCCAACTGTCTGCACACTACATCAGCATCCTCTAAGCCCCACAAGTCATCACACACTGTTCCCCAAGCACTGTTGTAATAGATTTCCACCCTTCCAGAGCAATGAGTTGATCCAGTCCCAACTAATCTGATCTGACCATCTATCAGAAACATAACAAACAACATAACAAACAAGTTTTATGTTATTTACAAAGAACGTTAACTGAAAAGTATCACATTTTATTCATCACAGCGTTGAACTAACTGACCTGCAGCAGGTGAAGTTGTGGACAAGAGAAAATACACTGTAGAGACAAAAGACAAAACCAATTTGTCTCATTACATTCAGCAAGCTGAAAGGTGCAGAAATACACGTTTGCCTTGTTGTGTTTTGGATTCACTTCATAATTCATAAAGAGTCAAACTGCAGTTTTCATTACAAAAAAGCTTTTTTTAAAATATGCATTAACTTTGAGAATAAGTCTTACCAATGACCCAATAGTGAAGGTTTCTCTGTTGGATGAACTCCATGGCTGAAACGTTCCTTAGTGACAGAGCAGACGACAGAAAACTGAAGTCAAAACCGCGATTTGCAAAATAACCCCTCACTGCTCAGTCCTTCCTCTTTACTTGCCAGAAAAAAAGCTCAAAACCATACAATGCAACGTATTCTATATGTACCAAGCCACACATCTATAGCTGACTGCCTCTTACAGGGAAGTCAAACAGAGGGTTGTAACACGGTGACAGATTAGTGGGTGTGTGAGGTCCTGTATGTGGAGTTTTTAATTCCACAAAGGGGGCTTGTTTTTAACTGGCTAGATTGCCATCTTGTGCACACTGACCTGCTACAGAGAAAGCTATGGTCAGAGTTTCTCATTAAAATCTCTTCAAACATGCAGCTTTCCCAGATGAGCGCGATCCTGCATACGTGCATTAAAGTAGCCCTCAATGAAAAGCCGATGAAGTCAACGAAGGGATCGATCCGTTAAGAATTGGAATATCCAAGCAGAAAGGAATCTGAAATGCTAAAGGCGCATGTATATTTTAATTATATTTAACATTTCCTGCATCCTAATTTCAGATGTGAGTGGTTACGTCCTTAAAGAGTTGTGCTTTGTCTTTCATGGACGCGTCATGTTCCTGCTTCCATCTGGTAAAGGTAGAACTATTTGTCATTACTTTATAGTGCTGAGCTTGTGGATAAATTAAGTCCTATCTTATCAACCTTTAACAATACACTCAATTACTTTGAATCTAATAAGTAAGTAATTGAATGAGTCTTCAATAGAGTGGAGTATAACTACAACAAGAGTACTCCAAAATAGTACACCAGTAAAATATACTTACTACTTCAAAGATACGACACAAATGGCCATCAATTGCACATTTACGATCCTGGCTACTGCTGACTAATTCCAATCAGGACAAACAAGTCAGACAAAGATATGTTTATTATTAGCAGATGATATGTGATGACAAAGTCTTCCCTCATGTGTTCTCCGTACACCAGTTTAGTGCTGTATGTGCCAACATGTCAAACAACACTTGGTCTGAGCAACAGATACTTATGCTACATGCATTAAAAAAACAACTTCATAACTGCTTCTAGATAAATTGAGGGGGATTTGGAGGGTGGGTACAGATACAGAGAGATGTTGTGGTTTGCTGCTCACTTACACATCTTGTAAGTATTGCATTGAAGATGTTTTAGCAGAACAAACAGCGGAAGCTAAACCACTTGCTTCTCCCTCGCTGATCAACACCAACACTGGTTCCTCTTCAAGTGGAATTGCCATGTCTTTGTTGGGCGGCCACAGCATAAAATACAGAACTAAACAAGGTATCTGCAGGTCTCATCAGATTGTATCCAATCATATTTAATAATAGCATAGATATATGATGGTGCTGGAAAGTAGTTTTTTTTTAAAATGCGTCATTATCTGATTGAACCTTCTCAGCTTGACTACTGCCAATACACTTTATTTCTATTAATATGATGTCCCATTTTTATGGACTCGGCTTATCTTTCCTTCATTTTAGTTGTGCATTTCTTGTATCCGTAATCTTTTTTAAATTTAATTTACTGCCTTGTGTGTGTGTGTGACCACGACAAGGCCCGGATTGGTTTTGAAATTTTAGTATGTACTTTAATCCCGTATATGTATTTCTATGTATGTGTATATAGGTACATATTATAGAGTTCACGAGGGGGGTGGATCCTGAATAGGGAGATTACGCTCCCCGGCAGATACTTGTAACTGCTATGGCTCCATTTTCCGGTGGAGTAAACGAACCACACCTTCGAAAACTCAGAAGCATCCCCCCTCACACCTGGGACTCATCAGAGTATGGCGACCCTGAAGGCCTTCATCAGAGCGGGGAGAGACACCCATTGAGATCCTCGTCGGAGCTGCGCTGTGACTGAGGTTGGCATGGCGGGTAGTTCGGGTGGAAGCGAGGTGGATATGCGGGAGTGCAGTGAGAGGTCGGACAATGAAGAGGGAGAAATGCATGCGGGTAATAAGGTAAAGTGGAAGGTGAAGAATGAGAAGAAACGTAGTAGGAAGAACGGGGAGTCAATGTCGGATGGGGATGACCAGAGGGGTGCGGAGAGAATGAGAAGGGATAAGAGGCGAGAGCAGGTGGAGGAATGTAAAGTTATGGCTGTGTTCGATGAGCCTACGAGGAAAGTGCTGAACCCGATAGCATTATCTAAAGCTATTGAAGCAGAGGTGGGACATGTTAGAGATGCGAGGTGTGTTGGGCATGGGAGAGTGTTGATTTTTGCTGTTAATTGGGCGCAGCAAGGCAAGTTAATGGCGTTGACGTCGTTGAATGGAGCGAAGGTGAAGTGTCACATACCGGGTGGAAGGGCTAAGAGCAGGGGGGTGATTACGGGGGTACCGCTGGATATAACAATGGAGGAATTCAAGAAAGAAGTAAAGGGAGGACGGGTAGTGGAGGCAAAACGAATGACAAATAAAAACAAAGGGAACGGAGAGGAGAGCCCTACGGTGATGGTGGAGTGTGTCTGGGGTATGTGAGCTACTTTGTGAGGGAGTATGTGCCGGCGCCGCTAAGGTGCTTCAAGT